GGATTACAGGCATGCACCACCACACCAGGTTTTGGTGGCTGGCATAGTGCGCCAGGAGTGATTGAACCCGGGTCCTTGGGTTTGCCAGGCAGGCACTTAGACCACCGAGCTATCTCCCCAGCCCCTGAAATTAAAATTATCTCACTAGTTTTCAGTCTTTTTCTGATATGTTCATTACAATTTTTCTTAAAGCACAGCTGTCTATTTTGTCTTCGTTAATCTTAGATTATTTAGAAATTTAAAATTATATCTCAATTTCTAAACATATGGGGCATTTTTCTACTTATTTTGCCTATTGCAATGGGTTTAAGAACATGTTTTATATGTTTTCCTTCTTTTGAAGCTGCTTAGGTGTCCCGGCTTGGCATATGCTCAGCGCTGCACGCGCTTGAAACCTAATGCCTACCTCATGAGGCATCATCTCAGCTTAGGACCACGGACAAGAAGTTGGGAGACAGTCCCAGAAAGCATGGGTGGGACAGCGGGACGTGAGACAGAAAGCAAGCAGCAGATAGACCTTAAGCGAATGACCTCTGTGGGCCACGGCTTAGCTCTTCAGGGAACCCTGGACCGTGATGGAACGCTGAGGATGCGCTGAGGGTTGCTACGCACGCCCCACAGTCATTGGGCTGAGGGCTCCTTGAAGACCAGGTGCAGACAGGCAGGGTGGGCCGTGGAGGAGAGCGTTGGCCTGCAAGAGCAGCTGCCTGCCTTCCTGTCATGCCCTGGCTTCACTTCAGTGGGAGGTACCCTCCCCGCCACCAGGCCTTGCCCCAGCTGCCGCCATTGCATCAGGCTGTCCACTGCCTCAGTGGCAGCCTCCACCACCATCCCAGCCGCCTTTCCTGCCTGGCACAGCTGCTGCCCCTCCCTCCCCCCACTCCACAACAGCCACCCTGGCAGAGATGGTGAGAGAGCAAGAAATCTTTCAAGGAGGCCAGCCCGAGGTGGCGGACGGGAAGTGTAGCTGGGGGGTTGCTGGGGACACGCAGCAGTGTTGGGGATATGGACAGAGGCTGACGTCGCTGTGTGAGCTAAAGGCACTCAGGATTCTGAGGAAGAACACATCAGTCACCGGAGTGGGGTGTGAACAGGTGAGGGAGGAGGGGACATCGCTGAGGGGCTCCATTCCGCCCTCCGCGCCCTGCATGCTGTGCTGGAGCGTTTTGTGCTTGCTGTTGAACATACTGACTTGGTTGAAAGACACAAAATCATTGTAATAATTATGTCCCAGTCAGCATTTTCTAGGTGATCTCCTAGTTGCTGGTGCCACTGAACAATTTCAGACAGAAAGATGAAAATAGAAGTCAGATTCTTTAAGGAAAGTATGATCTTAAAGGAAATTCGCTGGCTTCTACCAGAGTATGTTGCTTTCAGAAAGTCCTGTTCACTGGGCGTGGTGGTACGCACCTGCAGACCCAGCCACTTGAGAAGCTGAGGCAGGAAGGTCACAGGTTTGAGCCCAACCTGGGCAAAGGAGTGACTTAGAAGGGCTGTGTCTCAAAATAAAAAGAGGGCTGGAGATATAGGTCACTTGTAGAGTACCCTGGGTTCAGTGTCCAGGACGGCAAAGTAGATCGTTAAATAATGTTTTTTTAAGGGAAAGTCTTGATGTGCAGGCCACGTATAGACCAATAAATTAAAATCTTTCTGGATGGCATCCATACATTGGTATTTTTATTTTTTGCTATTTTTAAAAAGTAACAATTTTTATGTCAAATATGTGGCCAAGTAAGAATCACTGCTATGGTAGAATTCCTCATCTTTGCTTGACTGTGTTTTACAACATTAACTTGCTTGCAAATAAGGTCTGAAAGATTTTGAAACCACTCTTAAGTCCCTAGAGACAGAATTAGCAGTGTCTTGGAAGCCTAAGGGTCTCCCCCCACCGCTCTCCAAGAGAATTTTCCAGTGAGGCGGTACCATATCACAACCAGATAATCTGAATCCCTCTCTTCTCAAAGGGTCAGAACTTAATGAGTGCTGCTGACCCCAAGGAGAAGCCTCTGGGAAGCATTGAGAAGCAGCACATGGCAACGCAGTGTGGACAGGTTTGTGGCAGGAGGAGCCCCCTTCCCGGAGGCTCCCAAGCCCAGAGACCCAGGTGTAGCCCCTGGGCGGCCCTTACTGAAGAGTGCGAGAGACCACAGTCCCGAGCTGACCCACATTTCCCTGGAGAAGCTGCTGACAGTAGCACAGTGGCTGCAGATCCGAAAGCAGAAGCAAGACAGCTCCCAGCATCCCTCACAAGCTGAGCTCCAGCCCCAGAAAGCAGGGCCCAGGGAAGCGGGAAGCGTGTATAGCCTCGAGCTACCTG